AACATCATCATCATCATCATCATCGTCATCATCATCATCGACAGCATGACATCAATGTTCAACACCGATGCTTCACTACCGTTCAACCACGGTTTATTTGGAAGCCTTATTTTAAAGAAAAAAGTGATGGTGCCTATACCTCCAGACATTGACTCAGGCAATCTGGCTAGAAACTGACAACAACTGACATCGGTTGGCAGCCATATCTTGTAGTGTCTCCAACCAGGCACAGTGAGGATCACGCAGTCCCCATCCTGGAAGGTGAGTAACACCGACAGCACACAAGCGTTTCGTGATCTTCTTTATACTCCTCTGCCAAGTCAAGGGTTGGCCACCTTTCTGTTTACGCCATTCTGAGTTGGGTATGGAAAACAGCACTCTCTTTGACAAACGATGGTTTGGCATCCAAGTAGTCTGGATAGAATCTGATATCAAAAAAGGCCACTGACAATGATTAGTAGGTCTATCTCGATGCGTCTCTAACCAGGCGCAGTGGAGACAAGTGGCCTCATCCTGGAAGGTGAGTCACACTGACAACACCCGAACGTTTCATAATCTCTTTCATATCCCTCTGCTAGGTCAAGGGTTAGCCACCTTTATGCTTTCGTTACTCTGAATCGGACACAAGAAACGGCCTTCTTAGCAGAAAGGATGCTAAGATTCCAAAAACTAAGTCAGTATGGTCGTTCCAAAACAGGTAAAAAGAGGAACTGTTTGTCAAAATTTATCACTGGCATTGTATCCAGAAAATTAATTTGATATCCATCATTCCGGCTGCAACATGAAGCCGCATTCACGCACCTAATCTAGTTAAAGATTAGTAAAAAAAGGGGAATTTCAGCGGAGGTGTGGTTCACTCGCTCTTTGACATCAGATTAGATTACAAATCAAGGTCTGTCCCCACATGCTTCAAGTTCGGCTTTCCACCAAGGACCTAGCTCATGAACCCAAGAACAGCGAAGCCGCTGCTGAGCTATTCAAAAGTTTTCATCACCGTAACGAGTTGATCCACTCGTATATATTTTTATCATTTATATTATATGGTGTATATATATAATATTTTACCATCTTGGAGTGGAAAGTACTCATTCTGACGTTTA